TAGGAATCCTGCTGACCAGCTGTGTGTTACCTTAGGCATCACGTCTGTTTTATTTTCTCAGGCAAAGGGCGTGGAGCTACAGGAGTTTGCATTGTACGGCTCATTGCCTCTCACTTAGAGGGGTTTTTGACGTGCCCAGCTTCCAGACTCACAGTTGTGTCCGGGGTGTCCTGTGAAGTGTGGTCTGTTGTTAAGAGTCCCACCCTGACCCCTCAGCTGGTCATTACAGAAACCTTTCTGATTGAAAGAAATAGTACTTTAAGGCTAAATTTTAATGGGCACCAAAAAAAAAAAAAGAGAAAGGAAAAGAAAAGAACCATCACTAATTAGTAAGTTGAATGAAGTGATCAGATCAGAGGATCTGTCCCAGGTAAGGGTAATTGAACATCCCTGGAAATGGTGTCAAGCTGAAGATTTTCCCAGTGATTTATTTTAGGTCTTTCCAAATACAAATAGTCATAATGCCAAACACGGATCCGGAAGTGTTGTCTTTCCCTTTTCCGGGAGTTCTGTGTGGGAGGGTATTTTAAAAGTGATGTATGGGCATGGCTGTATGGAATACAGATGATGAAAACTGTGGCTAGCGTCTTGAGCAGTGAGTTCCTCATCTGAGCTATCCAGGCTCTCTGTGACATCTACCCTGTGTACAGTGGGGCAGAGTGCCATTCTGACAAGCAGGCTCCAGTCCACACTCGTGTGACTTGGGCCAGACTCCTCCACCATGCAGCAGGCCTGGAGTGCAGCACAGTCAGGGCAGCCTCATTCAGACCCTGCTGGCTCTCAGTAGATGCCCAGCCTGTGCTGGGTACAGCAGATACAGAGATGACCAGGATGAGGCCCTGCCCTTATGGGGCTTGCAAAGGCAGATAGGCACACACAGCATTAAGATGCGGTCTGCTAGGACCCGTATGGACAGTGTCCTCAGGGGCCCAAGAGTCAGCCTGACCACCTGGCCCAGCACCTGCTGTGGTCTTGCATTGATGGCAGACAAGGGTTCATTTTCATGACAGAATGGCTCCCTGGCTTACCCATCACGTCCAGGGTAAGATTTGACCTACATCTCTGTTCAAGTGGAAACAATATCAGTAACACCAGTAACAACACACACAAGCGCCAGGCACTGTGCTACCTGCTTTCCCTGGATTAGCTCATGGAATCCTCACAATCACACTGGGAGGTGTAGATAGGGGATTGTCTCTGAGTCTTCACCGCCACACTGGAAGGTGTGAACACTACTATTTTCCTCATTATACACTGAAATCGTAAATTCCCAGGTTCTGGAATTTTCCCTAGAGCATGTTGCTAGCCTGAGCCCCTAAAGCTGGCTCCGCAGTCCCCAGGGCTATGCCATTAGTGTTCAGTTCCACCGAACCCAACACAAGGACGGGATCTCTTGGAAATTAGTGCTTGAACAATGTACTTTCCAAAATAAGTTTGTGAAGAAGGGGAGCACGTTAAGGAGAAGGAAGGAATGAATCTGGAGAAGAGCAAACTTACCCTGTGCTCCTTTGGAGGGATCCTATCCTTTAACAGCAACAACAAAAATTATTTTCTCTGATCAAAAGTTGTTTTCCTATGAGATGAAGTTAGGGTGAGCTTTGTGGCTGATGGCGGCTTCCTGCACCTGCAGCGTGTGCCTCCCAGAAGTGTAACACTGCATTTCCTGCCTTTCTTAGCAGGGGCTCTTCCAGATTCTTAGCAGAGGGGACCCCACAGGTCCAGATGCTAAGTGCCAGTCTGGGAGACACGCTGGTAGGCTGTCTGTTGCAAACCCAGGTGCGCTGACAGTTTAAACCCGTTGTTATTTGGGGAGGAGAAATTGAGATGCAAGCCCCTTAGCCAAATCCCCAAGAGATTAAGGTTGTCTGTGTATTGAGGCAGGAAGAGGTAAACAAAGGAGTGTTTTCAGCTGATTTTGTCTGAACGGATGCCATATCTACATTATCCTGGGATTAATGGCATTTTTCACATGTTTAATCTCAGAAGCTATTTTATGTTGCAGCCTGACCCTGAATGTTTATGCTTTAGAGCTGTCACGTTGTAAGGTCTTCAGCCCCCAGAGCTGCCTTATCCTGCACGTGGCTGTGTCCCATTCGCTTTTCCTGCACTCCCAGGCTGAGGACGGCACAGACCCCCGATCTTGTGCCCCTAGTGTGAGTGTAGAGGCCACCGAGACCTTCTCCCACAGAACAGAATGGCATGTCACCCAGCTGCTCTGACTACACTTACCTGGGACAAAGATGCAACTTGTCTGGGGCACGGCATTGTGGGAAATGATGCTCAGCCCATCACCCCTTTCTCAGCTTACCTATTGAGGCTCCAGGTGGAATCTCAGGCCTCTGAGCCACAGTAGAGCGGGAGAGTGGTTTTTCTTCCTCCTGTCTAGACCCCTGTTCACTGCTCCTGCATACCCATGAGGCTGTTCCTGGGCAGTCTCTGTGAAGGGATCTCAGTGTCTCAGGGACTTTGGCCCATATGCATTCCTGACAAGGAAGAAGGTGGCAAAGAAGAGAGTATAAAGTACAAGGAAAGGCCAACACTCAGGGGGAAAGAGACGGGAACCAAAAAGGAAAAACTGCAGAAAGATCGTAGCCATATGCTTGGCCCAGCATTGGGTGACTCTGCCATTGTAGGCTGCCTTATTCCCCTCGGCACAGCCTGGCACAGCAGGGGTGCTTGCTCAGTCCTGTGGGTCTGCGCATGAACACAGATGCACACGTGCACACTCGGCACAGCTGGAAACATTGCTACTGCACAGATGGGCAACGCAGCAGGTGGCCCTTCTGTGCTGGGGATGGGATTCTGCCAGCACGCTCTGATAGAAAGGAAGGAAAAATTACCTTCCAGCTCAAGCTAGTTGCATTGTTTGCGACACTGCCGTTCCCGTGAGCAAACTGGAAGGAGGATATGATTTGCCTCAGGTCATCTGAGATGTCAGCCTTGGGCATGGTCCATAGGGGTCTCCTTATTTGCCCACCACTGGGGTCCCCAGCTTCTTTCTAGGGCTGCCTCTCGCTGCAGTCCCCAGGAACGCTGCAGGTGCCATTCCAAATAATCTCCTCTGCTGATTTGTAAAATATTTACTTTTCCTCAAATAGAATTGTCCAAGTGTACAGCATAAGGAATGTGTCTTGTGCCCTCATGGTAGGAAGGGACCCCAGGGTCAGGAACCTGACACTGAGCTGCAGGGAGGCCAGGCAGTCAGCCAGAGCACTCCAGATGTGCTGGTGCTGCCTTGGCATTTAACAGCAGCTGTTCTGCCTCTAATTTAAAACCCAAAGTGGAAATTTTCCCTTCCTGCACACTTAGTCCTAACAGAATTATTCAGAGTATGGTGTTACTGAGGCAGTAAGTTTAAGCTGTAGTGAAGTCCCCATCTCCAATCAGCAAAGGGTGCCTGACTAGCACACACTTGGGAGGAACTGAGAGGAACTGGGACCTGACACCTCAGGTCAGCAGGGAGCAGAGGGTACCATGGTCACCGTGTATAGAGAAGAGATCAAGGGAGAGAAGAAAGGAGCCTTTTAAGAAAAAAGTAAAACTCCAGAGAGAGACTGTGAGGACACTGTGGAACTCTTCCTGAGAATGAGGGATGAGACATACAGATTTTATATAAAAATGCAGCCACCTAGCACCTTCCACATTCCAGACAACTACTGGGTTCTCTGGACAGGAATGAAATTTCCCTGCAAATGAGCCAGAATTTGAACTATACCTGGAACATGTCTGAGGCATGTTTTTGTTCACAGACACGTGCTTAGTGAACCAAAGGCACTCATCAGTGGAGTAAATGGCCACCTAGCAAAATGTCTAGTGCCCAGTGCAGTAGAACAAGCGTCTCAAGAGAATTACCAAAGAATTAGAGAAGATGTGACAAGGAGGTGGCACCCACGCGGGGCCCTGGTGGACAAGTCCTCATCACCTCACCTGGCCTGTGGCCACAGCCTCCCTCTCAGCTTCCCAGACTCTCCACCAAACCTCCAGACAGTGGCTGTGGTCTAAAACTCCTGTGGCTCCTCATTATGGGCAGAAAATCAAAGGCAGACGCGTGGCACACACCTCCTCATTCTGCCCCCTCTGCCGGTGGCGGGGCCTTCCTTATGCCTGCCCCACCCCCTGGCCTGGAAGATTTGTTTTCCTTCTCCAGGTCCCAACCCCAGGCTGCACCCCAACCCCCACCCACCAGCATTAGTCCCTGTGTCCACAGAGCGCTTTGTAAATTTTAGCATTTCCCAGTTTCTACTGCAGGTATTTGTGTCTCATTTTTCCAACTAGACTTTGAGCTATTTGAAGGGACACTTTGTTTATTTTTCTGCCTCGGAATTGAACACAATCCTTGCCCATAGCAAACACCGACTGATTGAATGAATGGACAGAGGAGAGGAGGAGCAGGGGAGTAGGAATGCTGGGCTCCAGCTCAGAATAGAAAGTAGGGCTGGACTGCATGTTGTAGGTCAGGAACAAATGAGGATTCCCAGGTTTGGAAGCAAAAATTAGCTGAGACCTGGACAAGGCGGTAGGAGGCTGGAGGGAAGGCCCCAGGAGGACAGGCCCCCCATGAGGCAGGCCCCTGGTATGTTTACAGTTTTTAAAAGACAAGAGAACAATAGTGTGCCTACCACATTCAAGCATGTCGGGAAATCAGGTAGTATATGTTGTTCCAAAATGACAGGATCACGTTAAAGAAATCTTACCTATGTATGTACTTATTTTTATCCCTTTTCAGAGAGGATTCCCTAAGAGGAAATTGGGTTTAAAATGCACATTGATCTTACAGGAGCAGTTGTATTTAATTTTTTGTAGCTCTGACTGAAGGAGTATAATCCCTTTGATACATCTTTAAAAAGAAAGCTAAGTTTCTTAAAGAAAAGTAACAGTCTCACCAAAGGGCCCCCGGACCTATTTCCCCTACCATCCTGACTACCCTGAGCTCTGTGTGGGAGAAGCAAAAGGAAGAGGATATAGGTCTGTCTTGCATAACTTTATTCCTTTACCCCCAGATAAGGGCCTGCCCCCTGCAACAACAGGGCCTGGAGCTAACGGGCAGCCTGCCCCTCCCTGGATCACCATAGCTCGGCAGAAGCGACGAGGGCCCCCGGACCAGCCACACAACCAGGAGGACAAGCCTGGGGCCCGGACCCTGAAGTCTGAGCCTGGAAAGCAAGCCAAGCCACCCGACAGAGCCCAGGTGCTTAGAGCAAACATTTTCTGGTTTTGTACAGGAAGAAACAGCAGGCCCAGTCAGGGGCTGGGACCCCAGTGAGGATCACATACCCCACATGGGCATCACAGAAACATCACCTGTGATGGTGGTTGTTGTGGTCAAGGACCAGTGAAGCAAAATTAATGATTTGCCAAGTTACAGCCTCCCTGATGGGAGTGCCTGCCGTTCACATGCGCGGGCTGTTAAGGACACAGAGAGAAGTGTGTGAGTCACTCAGGCAGTGGAGACAGCTCCCTGCTTCCGGCCTCCTAGGCAACGCACCTCAGCAACTAGAAAAATGGAAGGAGGTTAAAATAACTTCTGGGTTAGACACACAGTGATATCAGCAGCTCCATCTCTGCTCATTATAAGGTGAGGACCAAGCCTGGCTCTTGGTGCTGTGACAGCCGCCTGCTGGGGTTCCTTGTTTCCCACCTGGGGCTGCAGGGCTGGAATCTGGGGTTCCATTTTGCACTCTGGACTGGAAACAGCTTTCACCAACCCAAACGACTATGCTTAGAAACAGTCCTGAGACTCACAGCTTTCGTATTCCCCCAGCAGCATCCACGGTAAATCCAGAAGTGTGTTCTCCATAGGAGGAAGGGAGCCTGAGCCTGCAGCAGGACCTGCTTCCGTTCATTTTAACCTAAACTGTACCTATACCCAGACTTGAAGGCCCTCATGCAGGCTTAGGGGATTTGTAAAAGAAATAGTAACCAGTTGGGAGCACCGATGATCCTATCAACTGTCATAAAAATCACAAAACATATTCCCACACAGAATTCATTTTGATTTTCAAATGGAATTCCTGCTGTCCAGCCCCTGGGGCTGAGGCCAGGAGTGGGGACAGGGAAGAAGCCCTGAAGCACGTGTGGGCTAGACTAAGGCTGAGCTTGGCTGAGCTCCTGTGCCCAGCCAGCCCAGTGTCAGTGAGTGGACACACCAGAGCTCTCCCATGATGGTGTCAGTGGCATGGTTCAACCTGGGAGAGAAGCCTTGTGGCTTGTTCACTTGGGTTGCATTTGCCCCCCCCCCTCTAAATCAGAGGTGGCTGGACAGTGTCTTTCTTGTGTCCCTGCAGGAGCCTGTGAAACAAGCAGACTTTGTGCGCAGCAAGTCTTTCCTGGTGACCCCTGTGAAGCCTGCAGTGGACCGGAGGCGGGGGGCGGAGCTTGGCCTCCAGGAGGGGCTGCAGAGGGGAATATCACTGTCTCACCAGAACTTGGGTATGAGTCTGCAAATACAACCAAACACTTGGAAATCATTTCCTAGATGCTCCTACATTTCTGGGGTTTTGGGTCGTTTTTCTGAATTATTTGCCATATTGAGTTTTTTTACACAGCTTTTAATGAGATACAATTTACATACCATAAATCTCACCCATTTTAAATGTATAGTTCATTAAGCATATGGTGGACCCATGAACAAATGTGGGTTTGAACTGTGCAGGTCCACTTAGAATATTTGTATAAATATTAAAATATATATTAAAACACTGTAACTTTTTTTTTTTTT